TGGACTAGTAAATATGGTAAAAAATACCATTGAATTAGTAAATACTTTTCTAAACTAGTAATTTTTAAATATTGCCATAAATGGGGTAGGAAATCAATTGAAGTTGTAAATATTCCCACAAATTTGGTAAACAATGCAATGAAGTTGTACATATTTCCATAAAGAATCAATTGAAGTCATAAATATTGCCATAAAGTTGGTAAATGATGCATTGAAGTTGTACATCTTCTTGAATTAGTTGTAAAATTATTCATAAATTAACCACACATCTATTGTTCTGATTGATCAATCATATTTATTGATCGATCACGGAGTAGTAAATATCATAAAAAATACCATTGAATTAGTAAAAAAAATTCACAACTCTCGTAAAAAAATTGATAACTCTCATAATTATTAACTTCATTATTGTTAAAAAAACATTTACTATAGTAATTATTTACACAAATGTGGTAAACAATCCACTGAAGTGTTAAATATTGCCATAAATGTCGTAAAGAATCTATTGAAATTGTAAATGTTGCCATAAATGTCGTAGGAAAGCCATTGAAGTTGTAAATATTCCCACAAAATTGGTAAATAATCCATTGAAGTTGTAAATTTTCTCATAAAAAATCCATTAAAGTTGTAAATATTCCAATAAAAGTGGTAAATGATCCATTGAAGTTGTAAGTATTCATGGATTAGTTGTAAATTATTCATAAATTAACCACACATGTGTGTGTTATGATCAATCGATCATGTTATTTATTGATCGATCATGGACTAATAAATATCATAAAACATACCATTCAATTAGTAAATACTATTCTCCACTAGTAATTTTGCCACAAAACTGGTATATCTTTCTCAATTGAAGTCTCAAGTATTCCCATAATCGTAAAGAATCTATTGAACTTGTAAATATTGCCACAAATGTGGTAGGAAATCAATTGAAGTTGTAAATATTGCTACAAATTTGTTAAACAATTCATTGAAATTGTAAATATTCCCTTCATTATAGTATCAACATCGTATTATATTTTAATAAAATTACTTTTAGTAATCATGATGTACTATCTAACATGTCATTTCATTGTCTTGTCTTGTCTACCAACCGGTATCTAACAAGTAACCGGTTACTATTTGGAAAAAAAAATAAATTTCAAAAGACACATTAATCAACGGCTCACTTTTCTTGTTAGATAAATTTACGGTACATGTTGAATTTTCGGTACCCTACCGAAAATCCCCTTGGATGTACCGTAGCCTGGTCCTACACTAACACTTTCCCTTGATTGACTCTATGTGTTCCAAACATTCCTTTTCTAACTTCAACAAAAAAGGAAAAATATGATGTTATGTTCATGTATTTGATTCTCTTGGGGAACTTCCATCATCAGTGCCAAGGACCTCTCTGCATCGTAATTGTGCTTCCACCGCCGCTACTTTATCACCACTCTCTAATCTCACTCCATTCCTTATCAAGAGCCACCAAGCAACCCAAAACCCAAACACCCATCACCAACAACACACTGTCATCACCCAATATTAATTCACGTCAAATCAAAATAAAAAAATCTAAGACTGATTTGGGTCCAGCTCACGTCATTTGAAAAATCAAAATAGGGTTATGGGCAATGGCTGGTTGGAAAAGATGAAAAGGAAGAAAAGAAAAGGTATCGGTGGTTGCTAGTGGATATGAGTGGCGAACTAAGGTAAATGAAAGAGATATGAAGAAGTGTCTGGCAGTGGTTAGATATAGTGGACTGGTTGGAGAAAAGAAAAGGCGAAGAAGAAATGTGGGTATGGTTTAAAAACTATTTATACCAAATCAATTATTAAAAATAAATAAAACAACTATCCCAAATTTGTATTAAACATATTTCTAAATCACTAATACTATTTGGACAAGGGCGGAGGGAGGTTAGGGCCAGGGTGGGCACGTGCCCCCCCTAAAAAAGAAATGTTTTTTTTAGTTAAGTATATATATTATATATTTGTATAATATATTATTTGTGCCCACTCAAAATCTAAGATAAAAATATTTGGCCCACATTATTTACTTAAAAGAATTAAAAAATTAAGCCCATTTAAATTAAAAAATTTGAGCCCACTATTATCTACCAAAATTTATTAAAAATTAAATTTTTGACTTATTACAACCCACCCAAACCTATTAAAAAATAAAATTTTTAGTCCACCATTAAAAGACAACGTTTTTGGCCCACTTGACAAACATCAGTAACACCTATCTTATTAGTTATCTTTTTTTTTTGCCCTCTCTGTCTCACTCACTCCCAGTTGCCAACTAGAAGAAACAGAGTAAAGCTCCTTCCTCAGTTCCTTGAGTTTTTTGTCGTTTCTTGCACCGTTGATGGGTTTAGTAGAGAGCATGGCTGGAGCCAGCATATGCCCGGTGTGTGGGGGGGGGGGGGGGGAGGGCACATGTCCACCATCAATTTTTTTTCTTAACATTACCTATATGTATTTCAAGTATTTTTTCAATATTTTTAATTATGTCCACCCTATTTTTTTGGCACATCAATTAGTGTACACTTATATCAAATAAATATGAATTTTTTTGACACATTTTGGACATGTTATGTATATAAAGACCAAAGTGATAAAATGATGGTGTATGTAAAAAATAATAAAGTTGTTAAGCAACAATTTCAAAGTATGAAAATTTACCGAAGTCAATTCTAAATGATTTTAATTAGCCTATATTTGTAAAAAAAAAAAATTGTGTCGTTTGTATATACTAAGCTTACCAAATTTTTGTATGTTGGATTTAATGAACTTTTAAGTATTAAATAGGATGTAATTAAATATAAATTATTGTCCTATTTCTATTGATTGTAAAAAAAAATTAATTTGTTAAAATATTTGTGCCCACCCTGGCATGACTTTCCGGCTCCGCCCCTGTATTTGGATATAATTTAAGGACATAATTAGGGGATTTAATGCATTATGATCAATGAACTGATAGTGTTAACCTAGAATCTTCAGTAGGGGCTTTTAATCTTTTGATTAGAATAGGGGTCGTGAGAAAGTAGAGCGTACTGCCTTGCCATAGTCGCGAGTCTGTTTATAGTCGCAACTGTTGTCATAGTCGCGACTGTTCGCATAATTAATGACCTGCACGAATGGTGTAACGACTGCCCCGCTATCTCCGACATGGACCTGGTGAAATTGAATTCTCCGTGAAGATGCGGAGTACCAACGGCTAGACGGTAAGACCCCGTGCATCTTAACTAGGGACTCGATGATAATTTAATGTTGAGATTTATTGACAATCTAATGGCCAAAATCGTTAAGCCTCTAAATTATGTCTTAATAACATTGCTCTTTGTAAATAGTAAAACATTAAATCATAGTGCTCAATTCAAAGCATAGAAACCCAAATAAAGGAAAAATATTATTTGAACATAATTTGAGTATTTAATCAATTACAGTCGTTGGATTAAAAGTTTAGAGTAATTCTATTTAGACCTAAAAATTTAACCTAACTTGTTAATATAATGATGTGATGTTAAACTAATGGACCTTTGGTCTAATGATACTCTTTATCAAGTGAAAATTTTACCTATTTGATGTCAAGAGTACAAGCCATCTTCCTCCCTCTCCTCTCCCCCTCCAAAAAAAAATATTTAAAAAAAATGATGTGATTTTAGTGAAACTATTTAATCAACACCCACTTTTAAAATTTATGGACATAATTAGTGGATTTAATGCATTATGATCATTGAACTGACAGTGTTGGGACTCAGTGATAATTTAATGTTGGGACTCTTTGACAATCTAATGGCCAAAATTGTTAAGTCTTTAAATTATGTTCTAATAGCATTGCTCTTTGCAAATAATAAAATATTAAATCATAGTGCTCAATTCAAAGCATAGAAACCAAATAAAGAAAAATATTATTTGAACATAATTTGAGAATTTAATCAATTACAGTCGTTGGATAAAAAGTTTAAAATAATTCTATTTAGACCAAAAATTTAACCTAATTTGTTGACTTAATGATGTGATTTTAGACTAATGGACCTTTGGTCTAATGGTACTATTTACTTAATGATAACTTTACTTTTTTGATGTCACGAGTACAATCCCTCTTCCCCCTCTCCCCTCCCCCCTCCCAAAAAAAATATTTAAAAAAAATGATGTAGTTTTAGTGGAACTATTTAATCAACATCCACTTTCAATATTTGACGAAACTGACGAACAACTCAAAGGTTACAGAGAATTAAATCAGTAAATTAAATCAATAAATTAAGTCTTAATGAGCTAATTATGAACTTAATTGGTGACATAATTCATCATCTCAAGTAACGGCCAATTAAGGAAACTTGAAGGTAAAGTATGATTTGATTTCTAAATCTCATCAAGTTGGGGTGAGTAATTAAAACACGGGGTGAGTAATTAAAACACTAACGAAAAAGGAAACAAAATCTGAGAGACCTTAAACCCAAAGATCTCATCAGACACAGCCAACGACACATATATATAAAATCAAAAATTCAGAAAGAAGAACAGCCAACCTCCTGAGTCCCAATGTACAAACCTCCGCCATCGTCTCTCCATAAACCCTAAATTCCACCACCCGATGTATTCTTCACCTCCGTTTGTTTGATTTCTCTCCCCTCTCTCCGAAAAGTTTCACCATTGTAAAGCAATGGAGTCGTTGATCGAACTCTGCGATGTGATCGCACAAAATCTTTCGCAGTTTGCTGATAAATTGGCTTGGATTTGTGGCCGATGTCCACCGATTGACTCTGTACTCGCCACCGCTAGATTTCTTTCTAAATGCCCCAATTTCGACGACATGAGGCCCTAACCGGCAGTCCTAGGGTTTTTTAAGTCGATTCCGTATTCTTTTTGGCCACAGTCGTTTGGAAGCGATTCAATCGATACGTTCGATTTTTTGAGTTATGTGAATAAAGCCAGTGAGTTGTCGTCGGATTTTGCCATGGCCGTTCCGGAGTATACGGGAGAGATTGTGATGTCGGCGATTAACAATGTCAGTGGGGATTTGGGGTTTCAAGGGTTTTCTTGAATGCTCTGTTGCAGTATTTTCCTCAAATTCTTCCTTCCTATGCACACAAATTAGTGTCCACTCTTCAAGATCGATTTGAAATTTCGGTTCCTAGTTCACCGAAGCAGCTAGTTGCGATAACACCTGAAGCGTCATCGTCTCAGAGTTCGCCCCTCAGTGCAAACCATTATCAATCAAATGAGAGAAACAGTCCAGGAAACGAGGTCAGCAATGCCTCTAGTTCTTCGAGCGGTGAGGCTTCAAGGGTTACAGATGAGAAGACCAGTGCATTGTCGTCGAAAGGATTGGTGATGAATGGGGGCAGCCTTGCGTGTAAGAGCAATGTGGATATATTTGGTGCTGGTGTTGGGTTCAATGATGGAGGAGGAGGCGGTTCCGCGACGTACAAGCGAGTGGTAGCCTGTTTTGAGGAAGAGCCTGTGGAGAGCCTTCAACAACAGGAGATTGCTTTCAAGCTGATTGGGACACATATTGGATAAAGTCCAGATTGACCTTAAGCTTTTGGAACAAGTGAGGGCCATTCGCCAAGGAGCAACTCCAATCAATGTTGGCTTTCCTAAAGGTAAAATTCATGGGTATCCACCCTTTTGGTTTTGAATTTTATTGATGTCTTGATGAAAAAACTATATAGATGAATGATAAAGCTGGTTAAAATATTTGCTTTTGTTGGCAGATAAGGAAGCGTGACCGGACGGAACAGGGGCAGCTACTGAAAGTTGGAATCAATAAAAAGCTGTCGGTTTATCAAGCTGCAACCAGGTTACAAATCAATAGTCTTTCATCTGTTGATTTGGATGGGAAGTCATCGAAGAGGTTGTTGCATGGAACTTTGGCATTGTTGATAGAAGCTGCTGAAGCATGTTTATTCTCTGTCTGGCGAAAGTTGAGAATTTGTGATGAGCTCTTCGGCTTATTGTTTGTGGGGATTTCCCAAATTGCTCTCACTCGTTGTCGTCAGCTGCTGCGTGTCTTGCTCATTCGCTTCAAACCCCTTGTGTTAAGTACATGTGCTCAGGTACATTATCTGTTTGCTTAGGGCTATCTCCTGCAGCTGGGGCGTATCTTGGTAACATGATTCTGCAATATGTTGCACTTTTTTGGGTAAACTTTCATTGTGATATATATATATATATATATATTTTCAAACAGTTAGAGACCTGAGGCAGATTTTCTAGGACCTCTATTTCTTGTTGTGGCTGAAATATGTTCAGATTTTGATCCTATTGTATATGTGGAACCTGCACTTTTGAAGTTATTCCGCAATTTGTGGTTCTATGTCGCTCTCTTTGGGTTTGCACCTCCAATTCAAAAAACTCTATCTCCGATAAAGTCAGTTTCCCGTAATCTGAATAGTGTAGGGAATTTCTCTTCAAGCAGTAGGTGGGCCATACATGTGGAATACTCAGTGGCCTTCTGCTGTTCAGCGTATTTCTCAAGGGACCCCACCTCTTGTAAGTTGATCAATAAAAAATCTTCCCTGATTCTGTTCTCCGTTTGACTTGATCATTGATATCTCTTTATATTTTGCTCCGAGATTTAGCTAAATTCTGTTTACTCTTTTTATGGATGTCTTATTCATATGTAGGAATTCGACCAATTTATTGCTACTTCTGGAGATCAATTTTGTCATATTTTAATGGTGATAAAAAAAAGTCAAATTTGATTCACATCTGAGAAATCTAATATGACCTTTACATCGCAGCGATGCATATATATTGCATGTATCTGTATCATTAATTTTATCAGTTGTTTTTTTCACGTACAAGTATTGTGACTAAATTGTAGTTTTGGAGATAAACCCCAGCTTACAAGCACCTATTCCAAAACTGATTAAGCATACTTTCCTCATCTATTTTGCCCAGTTTGCCTAGAACTTTTTTATCCTATTCACCAAATACTTATTCTGAACACTTGATGTTCTAATGTCTGTTTCATATTTTATTGGGTCATTTATTTATTTATCAATATGGTGGCTTGAAATGGGAAATTTGTAATGACTAAGCATGTATAGTAATTTATCTTTGCAATTATGCTTGAAACAGTTTAATAAGATCTTTTTAACCAAAAATTATATCTCTATTCAATTGATTTTCGTATAAGTATATGTTTAAGTATGAGAATGATCAATCTTTCCTTTTCTACTAGGCATTATTCAAGGCATAAAACTATTCTGCTGCCAATTACTTCTTTACAGTATTTTATGTCTTACATTTTTGTGCCATAACTCAATGTGACAATTACTTGAATTTTTGTGTCAATTAATTGCTTACAGTATTTTATTTCTTAAATTTTTGTGCTATGACTCAATGTGTAATATTGCTTCTTGAGTGCAGTATCTTAAAGATGGTGGAGAAAAGACTGACCTATTGAAATTTGGGAGGCTCATAAAGCCGCAATCCAAGCGTTTTCTTGTGAAAGGTATAGATTTTTCTTTGGGTATTGTATGGTATTGATTTTGTGGTATGATTTTGTTAGCATTTTCTTTTCTTCTCTTCTCGTGAAGTTCTTAATTATTATCCTGATCTCCATCTTTTGCTTAAGATTTCTTGTAGTTATCGAACTATAAAGACACTGATGTTGAAACTTGAAGATCCTACACCATGTTGCTTTGGATACGAATGAACAATGACAGTTTTGTTTATGGTAATTCAGGTTTAAGTGACACAACTCTACACATACTTTTGAAGAGCATACAGGTCGGCTTCTTGCATGACTATTCCTTTTGAATATCTTTGAGTAGATGTTATAGTTTTCATTTTTAAATATTAATGTGTTTTTATAAAAATTGTGGTGGTTGTTTGAAAGTTTTCAATGGTAGTAATTATTGTATTCTAGATGATCTTTAAATTTGCAAGTTATGAAAAAAGAACACATTAGTTTTTAGACCCTAATTGACTTGGACGCAGAAATGGACGTGTCTTGGTGGCATCTTGCATCATGACGCCCCGTGAATTCAAAGCAAGGCGGTGTTGCTAAGATATTCGACAAAAGTCCAAGCGCCATGTCTTAGGCTCTCGTTATGTTTTCTCGGTTCAGAAGATGTCTGCTAAAGTCTTTTTTGGAAAACCTCCATAAAACATATATAGGGGATAGAGATAGTTGAGGGGCACCGAGGGTCTAGCTAGCCTCTTGCCCTCGCCCTCAAGCTTTGGCACCGTTGAACAAAATATAAATGTGTCTATGTTTCTTTGGTGTATTAGTGTATGAGTGTATTTCTTGGTGTATTAGTATGTGTGAACAGAGTGTATGAGTGTGTTTCTTTGATGTATTAGTGTGTGTGAACAGAGCGTATGTTTTTAGGTTTTTTTCTGGATATATTAGTGTGTATGCGTTAGTTTATGTTTCTATAATATTGTGTTTTATTGTGTTTATTTGTTTGGTGTAGGAGTATGTATGTGTTTTTGGGTATATTAGTGTGTATTAACACGGTGTGTGGGTGTGCATGTATATGTTGATTAGCTGGGGTGTGTGTGTGTTTTGGTGTATTAATGTGTGTTTTTTTAGTGTATTAGTGTGTGTATTTGTGTTCGTGTAATAGCGTGTGTTATTGTATATTAGTGTTTGTGTTTTTGGTGGATTAGTTTGTGTTAACACATGTGATGGAATGTATGCATTTTGTGAATGTGTGTATGTGTTTAGGTGCTTCATTGTGTGTGTATTTTTTGATGTATTAGTGTGTGCATATTTTAGATGGTGTATTAGTGGGTGTGTGATATGAGATGATGTATTAGTGTATGTGTGTATGTTGTGTTTGTGTTTGTGTATGTGTAATAGTGTGTTTTGGTATGTTGGTGTATATGTTTTTTTGATGCATTATGTGTATTTTATTGTGTAGTAGTGTTTGTTAACACATTGTGTGTGGGTGTGTATGTATTAGTGTGTGTGTTTCAGTGATGGTGTGCGCATACATGTGTATTTGTGTAATAGTTTGTGTATGTGTGTGCATGCCTTTGGTGTGTTAGTGTGCATGTTTTTTTGGTGTATTAGTGTGTGTATGTTTTTTAATTTAAGGGGGCAGTGCGTTTTCATTAGTGTATGTGTATTCTTTTAATCAATGTGTTTTTGTGTGTGTTTTTATGTGTACAATGTGTATTTATTTTTATCAATTTTTTTTTTGGTGTATAGGTTTTTATGTTTATTGCGATTAGTTGTTGGCGTGTATGTTTTTATGATAGTATGTCTGTATCTTTCTTGTCTCGAGTGTTTTTGTGTTTTAATGTGTATAACATGTTTGTCTTGTGTGGTTATTACTCTGTTTTTTTTTTTTTGTTATCGAAGTGTTGGTGTGTATGTGCCTCCTTATGTGTCTGTGCTTGTATTTTTATTTTTTATTATGTGTATCTTTATTACTATATGACTATTTTAAAGTTTGTTTCCGGGTTTCCGGATTGAGTCCATTTTTTATAACCCTATTGTAACAATTTTTGAGTTTTGCCCGGAAGTTCACACAATGATTTATCAAGCCTTTTACTTGTAGAAGTGGATGCCTTGGTACCTTTGTTTAAGAATTCTTAACTGCAATTGGTTGATTTTCGAAAGTAGGTATGTTTTTACCATGTGGGTTCATTTAGATCATCTGTTAGGTTGTTTCGTCAAAAAGTGAGTTTCTTATGTTTGGTCAAAGATTGATGGAAAACTCACCGATCTCAAGAAAGAGGTAGCCACTTAAGACATAGTACTGCAAGACGCTAGCTGAGTTTAGTAAGGAGCGTTTATGTGTAGATTCTCAATACATCCATAAATATGTAAGCACATACTTACAAATTAGGTACCTAACCTTCAGGTGAGCTTGTTATAGATGAACCTTATTTTGTAAAAAAAAACCTTTTTTTCTTACTTTTTTTTTTTGTTGGACTTCGAAGTTCATAAGTATCTTTCTCAATGATAAACTTAAATCTTTTGGTTAAGATTTCTTACAGTTATCAAACTATGCTTTGGATAAGAATAACTGATATGGATTGTTATTAATGGTAACACAAGTTCCTATGACACAACTTTAGTGGTTTGGAAAGGGAGGACATGTGTGCATACTTTCGCAAGGCATACAGGTTCGTTTTCTTGCGTGGTTTGGTCTTTCCAATAATTGGTTTATTGGTCATCATTTAAGGTATAAGACCCCCTCTGTTGTCAATTACTTCCTTACAATTTTTTGTTCTTTCAAAATTTTTATGCCATTTAACTTCTATGTCACAAGTTTTGATATTCTCTATTGATTGCAGTATGTTAAGATGGTGGAGGAGAGACCAACATGTTGAACTTTGGAAGGCTTACAAGGTTGTAATCTAAGCAGTTATACCTTCAGGTGAGCTTTTTATAAGTGAACATTATTTTGCTTGATTTGAGGTATGATTGTGTAAGTTTTTTCCTTCTCTTTCATTCTCTTCTCTTTTTTGTCTTGAACCTTGAAGTTCTTAAGTATCTGCACTATGATCTCTCAACGATCAAATTAAGTGTTTTGCTTAAGTTTTCTTACAGTTAT